CAGTTCCATATATGAATTCTGTATAGTAGTTATTGCAAGTCTATTTCCACTTTGTAAAACATGTGAATTCGATGATCTCAATACAGCAAGTAGGAGTACTAAATCTTAAGAAAAACATGACAAAGAAATAGAGTATATTCTCCTTAAATACCTGAGGGTATAGGTGGGGGCTGGGGAGGAAGTAAGGTGTTAGTCTTGCTCTGGACAGTGCAAGGTAAAGGAGAAGGAGGAGATGTTGCACTATCTTTCATACCATACAGTTTGGACTCTTTGGAGAGAGTTCTTGGCAAGGAAGATCCTCTAGAAGCATTAGGTGATTCAGTCTTTAGCATCTTAGAATTGTAATGCAACTGTATTAAAAAAAAACTTTCAAAATTAAAATTATACAGATGAGGAAAACCCAAGAAATACAGAAAACGTATCAGAAAGAAAACTGGTTCAGGAGTCCAAAGACTCAGTTCTAACTTTTACAAGTTAGGTTTGCGATCCTGACAAGATTCTTTTTTTCATTTTTGAAGTTAAAAAGGTCATTCCTGATAATCCTTAAAGTTCTTTCCAACTATTAATAGCCTAAGATTTTATAATTCTAGAATTTAAAAAATGGTTGTTTAATGAAGTTGCACTAAGCCAGCTTTAACAAGTATGCTCTGAACACACATCTATACACATATATAAAACATTTAACTTCTTTTTGCCAAATTTCATGGGAAAAGCTGTATAAATGAAGTGACAACCTATATATATTCTTATGTTCAGAATATGGCTACCTAGACCAAAAAAACCTAGAAAGTTTCATAGTATAAGGAGCAAAAGAAGAACATATATGATAAGAAATAAAAACCACCATTATTGATACACTAATCTTTTATCCTAGACAATTAGGTATTTACATTTACATCAACTCCAGGCATATAAAATACTGTTGTTTCTAAGTCACTAGCTTTTGTCTATATAGATGACAGCACTTTCTTGCCACTCATTAAATGGGTGGTAGAAGCATAATTAGTTTGGAATTTCTTCTTTTTTGAAGGAGAATCTTGATCTAAGCTCCTGGAACTTCGATCATAACTCCTATGAGGAGAAAAATGTTTTATTTGTTTTTTTATTAACATATGGTTGCAGTACATAATAATTACATTCATCAGATATCTTCATTATTTTTATTCCCTCTTCCCCCAACCTTCCCTTTTCTTCCTTCCCCAGATCCCTTTCTCTCCTCTTAACAGCAAACTTTTGCTTCTACAATAAATAGAAAGTAATCCTTCATTTAAAAAATTGAAAAAAACTTATCAGTGTTTCTAGCTAGACTGGTTAATGCTTTGCAGAAGTGATACTAATGCTGGATGTTTTTTAACTATGTAGGGTAGCAAACTTTATTCTTTCCTTAGGTCCCAACTGTTTCACCTGAACATAGTAGGTTGCATCCAATTAAACTACCTTTTATATAGGTAGAACACCAGCTAATTACCAACAGTTTGTTATGGATTATTATGCTTTAACTATAACCTCATAGTCATTATTTTTATCAACACTATTACATTTGTAAAAGAGTTTTTCAACAGTTTTAGTCTTATTTCTGTCCATTGTATAAAAGCTGTGTAAGACAGACCATTTAAAACTCTTTATTATGAAGTATTTCAATCATAAAAAGTAAATAGAATGTAAATAGAATAGTATAATGAATTCCCATGTACTCGCTACCCTGCTTCAACAATTGCTAGCATTCTGCCATTCTTGTTTTACCTACATTTCCACACACTCATTCAATTGTAACTATGACTTTTCGTTACATTCATCAGGAAAGAAAAACAAAAATTCAAGGAAAAAATAACCAATATTAATCCTGCTTATATCACTGTGTAATTAATGATGGAAACAGATGGTAAGTTATAAATTACATCCAGAAATCATTTCATTCTAATGTTTCTCAATCTTTTTTATTTCATTAAGAACTCATCAAAACTCTCAATAACCAAGAGAATTGTACAATTCTTTAAAACAGAAACATACACAATGGTAGAGCCCGAGCAATTTATGTTTGTTGAAAGAAGAATTCCAAAGATATAACTATTTTAATTAATAAATTTACCACATCTACATCAGATATTCATTTATAGTTACCAAAAATACTATGCATTTATTATTTTTAAATTTGAGGTTATATAAATAATCACTAGATGACTACAAATACCTTTTAAACTGCATTTGGGGATTCAGAAAAAGATTATTATAATTCAGAGACATATGAATAAGTATTTCTAAAAGATGAAGTTCTATATTTTTATATGTTCTTTTTCAACCAATTTCTTACCTTCTCAAACTTATATCATCATGTTCTTGTAGAAGGATGGTTGGGTGGAGTACACATTTTCCACTATCAATTTTAACCCGTATATCAAGTTCAAAGTCAACATTTTTCTCAGTAGCTGTGCCAGTAAGACTTCAGTTGACTGGTGTTGTTGGCCATTGTTCTGTAAATACCTGATGAACAGCAGCAAAGCCTGTTGCTTTTTATGAGATGTATGTCTACAGAAAACACAACTGATCATTATCTTGTAGTAAAATGGAAAGTTGAATAAATTTTCTCAATATATAAATTCACATAAATTATTCAACTAGCTCATACTAACTGATCCTTATACTAAGCCTAATGGAGTCACATTTGATTCACACCCAATGGAATAGCTATTATTTATTTTTAAAAGTATTGGCAAAGATGTGGAGAATATGGAACCCCTGTCTGTTGTTGGTAGGAATCCAAAATGGTGCAGTCACTAGGGAAAACAATATAGATGTTCCTCAAAAAAATTACAAATAGAATTATATTATTCAACAACCCTACTTATAGCATTTAACCAATGAAATCAGGATCTTAAAGACAGCACTTCCTTATTCATTCTACCCACTTTCCATTATATACAAAATGTGTGGGGAAATTTAAATATCTATCAAAAGATGAATGGCCAAAAAATAGTATATGCATACAATGAAAATCTATTCAACTTTTAAAAAGAAAAAATTCTGTACTGTGTGCTAACATGAATGAGCCTAAGGACATTATACTGAGGTTAAAAACGCAGAGATAGACAGATACCACATTATTCTACTTATATGGGGTAGCTAAGATAGTCAAAATCATAGAAGCAAAGAATACATTCATAGTTGTCATGGGAGGTTGCTAATAAATAGGTATTAAGTTCTAGTTATGCAAGATGAATAAATTCTAGTGATTTGCTATAAAATATTGTGCCTACAGATAATATTGTATCACCCACTTAAATATCTGTAAAAAGGAAGCCTGCATGCTAAATATTCTTATCAAAACTTTTTTAAAATTTTAAAATTAAAAAAATTATCAAATTGTACATTTGAAAAAGGCTACACTAATGTAAATTCTATCTCAATAAACAAGACTTAATTTTTTTAAAAAAAGAAATGTAGAACACATAAGAAAAATAGATAGAGTATCTGTCCAGGAGAGCAAACGTCTCACTTTTGGGATTACTATTAAAAGAAGAAACTATGAGAATTTATTGGAACAACTATAAAACAACATTTTCTATAGCCAAATAAAACAGTTTGGGCATTTTATTACCTAGAAAAATTGTTCAAGAAAGACCCAAACCTAGACACACCACTGTGAAACTAAAGAACATAAATACAACTTTTAAAACCCTAAAAATTGTCAGGTAGAAACAGACATAAAATATCCAAAAAAAAAGCAAGTCACATTTACAGAACTAAAAAGAATAACCACAATATGCTAAATATTCATGCTGAAAGATAATGCAATAGTCTTTATTAGAAGAAATGATTATTAGATTAGAATTATGTGCTCAATCAAAAATGAGAACAGTAAATTTAGAGATTAAAAAAATAAAAGGTTTGTATCACCAAGTTTCTTAGAAAGTTATTTGAGGATATATTCCAGAAAAATGAGGGAATAAATCAAAATATGCTGCTGTAAAAGATTCAAGAGTAAGGGGATTCAGTTTAAGAAAAGGAGGAAAGAATCCTCACAGCTCAGAATGAAGAAGATTGAAGATGAGGACAGTTTCTCATAGACTAATTTTCAGTTCCTATTCTCACGTCAGCCAATTTCCCATCATTACCATAGCTAGAATATTACTGTTATTGTCACAATATCACTTAAGTAGATTTCTTTTAAAGGTTTTCAGGTTTTCTTGAGGGCAAATTCTGAGCAAGATTTCATTTATGTTCTTTATTTTTTTAATACCATCTCATCTTCTTTCTTTCAAGAGTTTGTTAAAATTCTTCATCTATTGCTAAACTTTCCTTTACTATTTT